GCGAGGGGTGGATAGACTCTGAACCTTTTAGCAACACTCTAGAGAGGGTCTGATGCCTACTCATGTGACCAAAATCCTATAAGGTGTGTTTAGGCCTACAGCCTCACTCCCAGTCCCTGCACTGTGGACCTCCATGCTCCTCCCTCCCCCCAACAAAGGCTCTGTCTACATGAAGGGGTTATAGCTGTTATTGTTAACTCCCTTTATCAAGTTTTATATTCAGGGTGGAGCAGATTGCTAATATTCTTTGATAAGCAACAGGAATATGTAGGGAATTGTGCAGTGGCTTTAACTAATGACAAGATGAGCTGTTTCAGTTTTTGAAGATGGGTTGGCTGTTTACTTAATTTTTTTTAACCTTCTTCAGCATTACATTAAGCACATTAGCATTGCAGTTACAGAAACACAAATGCGTTCTTCCAGCTGCTGCTTTGTTTCAACTTGGTGAAGCAAGAAACGCAGATACATATGATGCACTGTAGCAGCACTGACTTTTAAATATTAATGTTAAGTGCATGTCTCTTGAAGTTGATGTGACCCTTATAATAGAAACATGTAATTAGAGAAATGCAGTAACAAATTGCTTGTGATTGAAGGCAGAGGTAAAAGATGTTCTCTTCACCATGCACAAGATTTACTAACACAGCTTATTACCACTTACAGAATTTATTTTGTTTTAAACAGTGTGGCATCTGAACTGCCTATGTTCAGGTTGATTGGTGCTCTGTGCCTGTGTGGTAAATCAGTTCTTTCTATGGTATCCCTTGTGAGTGGAAACAACAGACCTTTTCTTCCTACATGGCCTCTGACCAGGCTGTCTCAGACTGGTGTCACCTGATACAGTATCAGACAGTGTACCAAATTAAATTCACTGTAGCAGTCAGGTTTTTTCATTAGGTGTTTAATAGCAAGAAGTTGACAAGAGAGAAAGCATTAGAGGGATAACATGTTAAATCAAAGACCAACACTGCACCCTGGGCAGTGCAGTGTGTAGAGGAGGGGCAGCATCCAGAAATTTGCTGCTGCGTGGAGAGATGTTGCCACCTTTTTTGCCACCGTTGTGTGTCAAGCAGCCAAAAAACAATGGTTTTCAGCAGCAAAAAGGAGGTGACATCTCCATTAGCAGCAGCAAACTACCAGCCACTGCTCCTGCAACTCTCAGCACTGCCACTCCTCTGCCTTCCCCACTGCCAAACCCAAGCTGCTTCAGAGAGGGTGAAGAGTACAGAGGGGTTGGAGAGAGAGAGAGGATAGCAGGGTAAGGTGCCATCCCAGCTCCATTCTGCACCCCTATTAGGCAGTGCCCATGGCTCGTGCCCAGCTCGTCCACCTATACTTACATTACTATGTTAGATACCAAACTCACACTCACAGCATCTTCTTTGGAGCTGTGGGATAGACACAGCTTGGGGTTAGTACTTCTCTCATTGCTTAAATGAAGGCTTCAGGTTTCAAAAGTGTTTAAGTCCCAATGAAAAAAAAATGACTTGATCCCTTTGAATGAAGCTTAGGCTCCTGAAGGGTAGGTCTCTTTGAAACCTGGACTTAAACTTCTATGTCACTTAGGCACTTTTTGAAAGTGTTACTGAAAATTCCATTTAATCAGAATAAAATAATAACTTCCTTCTGACCCTCCAAGGCTACCACCGTTCCCAACCTTCCTGTCGGGTGTTGTTTATATCTTAGTCCAGCTTGCACATGTGAATGATGTGTCTCCTCAAAGAGGTTAAGCCTTCCTGATTATTGATTTGTCCTCTCTCCAGCTAAAACAACTATCATACTGGTGTTTCTTTTTTTCTCTGATCCAGATCTTTAAGTCATGCAGTGCTTTTCC